TTACAAACTAGTCAGGGGGGACCAGCAGGCACTGGGGAAGTCCCTGTTCCCCCGAGCACTGCCAGGAGTGACCAGGAATAACGGTCACAAGCTGGCAGAGGGTAGATTTAGGCTAGATATCAGGAGGCGCTACTTCACGGTCAGGGCGGCTAGGATCTGGAACCAACTTCCAAGAGAAGTGGTGCTGGCTCCTACCCTGGGGGTCTTTAAGAGGAGGTTAGATGTATACCTTGCTGGGGTTGTTTGACCCCAGTACTCTTTCCTGCCATGGCAGGGGGTCGGACTAGATGATCTACTCAGGTCCCTTCCAACTCTAGAAACTACGAAACTATAAGAGGGGGAGGGTGGGCACACTGCCTGCCAACCCAGCCACAGGCAGGTAAGTTTATTTCTTTATCTTGCTTGGGCTTGGGTGGGGAGGAGACCAAGACCCCCCACAGTTCAGGAGGGAGTGCAGTAGGCACAGGGCACTGTCCCGCTCCCTTCTGCACTGTGTGGATTGCCCCATGACCCGGCCTGCCTGGGGCCCAGTTCACTGTGCGTGGGAGAGAGCAGGCTGCCGCTACAGGCTGGGGCTGGCAGTGGCCCCAGGCTCTTCCCCGCACTAGGGGCGGGCTGCAGTGATGGGAGGGTGACTGCTGCCACCCCAGTATTCACCATAGTCCTCCCTATCCTGCCTCCCCAGCGCCGCCACTGAATGCTGGGAAAAGCCTGGTGCTGCTGCCGGCCCCCACCTGTGCCAGCCTGGGCTCTGGGCAGCTGCAGCAGCCAGGCTGCAAACAGTTGCACCAGGCTCCACAGCCCTGGCATCTGCTCCACACTGGCAAGTGCACACATGCCTCAGAGCAGAGTGCAGGGGAGGGTTGCGCTGCCTCAGACCCTATCCCCGCTCTCTGCTCTGAGTGTGGAGCAGATGCCAGGGCTGCGGAGCCCTGTGCAGCTGTTTGCAGCCTGCCTGCTGCAGCTGCCCAGAGCCCAGGCTGGCTACAGGCAGGGCCTGGCAGCGGCACTGGGCTTTTCTGGGCTGGGCTGTGCTGCCTCAGGGCCCGCCCCCCACATCTGCTCCAAGGTGCGCAATGCTGGAGCCTCCACTCTTTCCAGCCTCCTGGCTGCAGCCAGCCCAGGCTCTGGGTAGCTGCTGCCATCCACAGAGCCTGGGCTGCTTGCAGCCTCCCAGCTGTCTGCTGGGAACAGCCCAGGCTCCGTGGCTGGCAGCAGCTGCCTCTTTGTCTGTCTCTCTCTTGCCCCTTCCTTCTCTCAAAACTATGGCAAAAATTTGGTGTCCCGCGCATTGTGCAGCGCTTTAAATTCCCCAGTAATTATTTGGCATTCAGCCCGCCTAGCTTTGGCCAACATCACGTCTAGCCCAGGTACATACTTGAGTTGTGCACCCCGGTGTAAAAGGTGGCAACCAGATCAGACATCTGTCATGTCACGGCCTTATATACATAGCCCTTCTTCCAATATATGGTGCATATTAGTCTGTAAATATAAAATCCCCTGGAAAATTGAGTGTTGGGGTACTTATTAACATTTTCAGAAGTTAGGGAGTACTTGCTACTTAGGGTTGAGAAAAAACAAGCTAGACTAGCTTGAGAAGAGTAATTCCATTGCACATACTAGATTTAGCTAACCCTTCAGTAAAGACATTTTCAGGGGCACAGAGCAACAGTGCATTGTCTCAAATAACTTCCTAGTATCTGTGTTTCTTAAAATTTGTAAGAATTCAGTCTTAGGTAAACTGTTTGCAAAAAATATTTTGTTTCTGTTGTTTGTTTTTATAGTTGGTCATACCTGGCTCTGTGTCCTGTCTTTTTTTTTTTCTTGGCATTTTCTTATCTTTATCTCTTCTGCTCTCTGCACCTTAATTTGTGGTGTTTTTTGCTGATGTGGGGAGGAAATACAAGCTAGTAAACTAGTGCGCTCTTATATTCCTTACTGCTAAATGTTAGGTGCATTACTGGAAAATATATCAATAATGTAGGTAACATTTAAAAATGCAACACTTGGAAAGAACTTGCGTAATTCTCTCTCTAATGTAGCAAAATGTCTTAGTACTATGTTTTAAGATTTGTTTTCACACCAGATTTGGTGTGGAGTAAACAAAGGTGCGAATATCCAGTGCTCAAGCTACTTCATATAAACTTCCTAGCTGTTGCCACTGGGCAGAAAGGCTGCTGAGAGCCCACTTTCAGCTGATGCCAGCACTTACAGCAAGGGTCAGCAACCGCAGAGGGGCCCGGAAGGCTGTTGCCCACGGGCCATGGGCCAGCTGCAAAAACCTGCTCCAGGCTCTGGCATGTCAGCCCTCTAGAGCCTTCCAAGGTAGACATTGTGGGGTTTTTTGGCACTCCGGCCAAAAAACGTTGCCTACCCCAACTTACAGGTTCCTGAGGAGGTTGGGGGTAGGAGACCATGCCTTCAAACCAACTTGGTTGCACTCTAACCAAGGGGAGCGCGGC